TTTTACCCAAATTTAAATGTATCATTAATGTTTTTAAGTCATACATTAGACAAAAAATTATTTGGAAAGTCAAGTAACCCACTTTTAAAGAAAGAGTCTTTTGGTTTTTTGGTTGGTTTTTTTGAGCAGTAACCAAAATGAACCCCTATTCATGTAGAAATGGTGTGAGAGGGAACCTTGATGTTTTCATTCTCAGTGGTACATCCCATATGTTATATGTATCTTCCTGTATTTAATTTATGTGATATGTCTGACATTTTCTTCTCACTGATCTCTATGAAAACTTCTGCCTGCATAAAATAGATTACATGAAAACTTCCTTTTCAAGTGCTAACTTCAGTTCCTTCAAAGTCAAAGTGAGGACCATCAGTTTTCAGTGGTATAATTAATAATCTCTAAGGATATGCATGTAGTGGAGAAATCTAAGCTAGTTTTGAATCACCTTCACTTGTAAATATTTGGTGTAAGGCCATGGCATCAGAGATCTGTGCACAGTCTAATTTATCCTCTTATTCAGCTTTTGAGACCTGTCCTACTCAGTTAACTGTTGAAAGCCAACTCAATGGCCATCTCTGCTGGCTCTACAGTGCATTCATGACTCTTTAAGTAAACAGAAATGATTGCTTAATTCTCTGATTACCACTTAGGACAGATACTGAATTATCTAGATAAATACAGGGTAGAATTACAATGTTCAGAGTATATTTTTGCATGTTTTTTACTGATAAGTATTAATGAAAAAAACCACTTATTAATCTGATAGATATGGTATATTTCTAACTGCATGACTACTTTAAGAAGTAGTGCCTATGAGAGAGCTTTTCCATAGAAAAAGAAGAAATATTTTGGCCAAATTCTGTATTTTTATTTCTGGAACTACAAGGTCTGACTATATGTTGTGGGGTTAGTTGGGATAAAGCTGAAGTGATTGACGAATGTATACAGCTGTTTATAAAATAAAAGGCTAGGCTGTATTTGTATGTGGATTCCTTTCTAAATAAGTACTTATTACAGTGAACTAATAAACAGGAAACTTCAAAAGGGCAACTTATATTAAACATTAGTCTTTTAGGTTATTCATTTACTCTACTCAGATTTATGGTTAAAATATTCCTGTCAGAAGTAAAGTGCCATTTATCTAATCCAGTTTCCTATGAAAATACACTTAGGTGATTTTGGAAGACTTCAATTACCTAATTGTATAAGAGAATAATTTATATCTCACAGTTGGTAACTTGTGATGCTGATTATTACTCAATTTTCAGTGAAAGATCAGACAACCTACCCAAGGCACTACATACCTTGAAATATCTATATATACTTTACTAAGAGTGTTAAATGAATAGCAACTTGTGAAATGAAGATCAATATGCTGTGACATAGTATATTCATAATCACAAGGATGAATTTATCATTTTCTTCAGCTAGATGAAAATAAGAATTTAACACTCCAAGGCCATCTCACTTTCAGATTACTTTTGGCAAGTTTCCAAAGATCCATAACTTTTAAATAAATGTAATATTTCTTCAGATTACAACAGCTAAGTACTTACCAGTTTATTTGTCATTTACTTATCACCCAACATATCTTGCTAATCTCTGCTCAAAGGCTGTTCAGAAAGTGATTCTTAATTCAAATAGTCAGTTACTGGCTTCCAGGGTGTTGAACAAACACCATGTAAGGTAGAGGGCCATTTTTCAAAAGCAGATTCCAAACATTAAAGATGTGATTTATGCCTGTAAGTCAGATATTTTAGGTGAAATCCTTGCCTTCTGAAAATGAATGGCAATATTCCCACTAACTTCAGGTTAGCCAGATTATGAGCCCTAACTTCTAAGGCACTCATAAAGTAATCTTCTGGAATTAAATTCTGAGACTCCATCATAATATTAAAAAAAGTAGATTTTGCTATTTTGTTATTATACATTCTCTCAGGTATTTAAATCTGTACATTTTCTTTGAATGAACCAAATTACTTGAAAATAGCATAAATTATAATTAAAATTACTCTGATTAAAATAGGGTGGTTTTGTTAAAACATGCTTCAATGATTGATCTTTAAACATAGTTCCTTTTTATTCCCCCTTTGATACACAGAGTCACTGAGAAGGGCACTTGAGTTATAAGGAGCATCAAAGGACTTGAAGGTTTAACAAATAAGGGGTGGTACTTAATCTTAGAGCAGGTGTTCAGGCCATGGGCTTCACATCAGTTCAATAAGCTGTTAGACAAATCCATGCAATAAATACACATCGTAAATAATTACATGTAAATAAATACATCTGTATTTATTTATGAATGTACAGAGAATGCACCAAGGGAAGGTAGGCCAAAGAAGTATCATTTCCTGTGTTCCTTGGTAAGTTACCTTGATAGCTCATCAATAGCTCATCATTTAAAAAAAATACCCACCTTATTTAAGTTCAAAATTTTTCTAGATTTGGCTTCAATTTGTGCCTATCAACATGTCATTCCTTGTAAGCTTTAAAAGGAATTTACTATTCTAAATATATTCCCTAGAGAGATATTTATGGTCTTGATTTGATTAGATTGGTTCTCCAATCTTTTTTTTTTTTGAACAGAGTATTTTAATGTCTTCCTATAAAGAATGTCTTGCAGAAGTTGTATATTTACTGTTCTCAATTCTTTTAAGTTCCTCAGTATCCTTTTTGAAGTGTGAGCACCAGAAAACAGACACAGTATTTCCTTCTAAATTTTCCTAACACTGTATTCTGAAATAAAATCAGTATTTATTTTAGATATTATCCTACTTATATGATCCTCAAGGATCGTATCCACCTTCTTAGGTAAATCATCACTGTAGAAGATGATATACATTTGGTTACTTTCTATGACTCCTCAGCCATTTTAGGTCCTGCTTTCCAGGACAGCATCTTCATCTTGTAATTATGACCTGCATTCATCCTTCGCTGGTGAATAATTTTGCATTTCTTTGTATTATGATGTGGTGTTTGAAAGGATCCTTTTCACCAAGAAACTGCATGAGTGGTCTATCTCCAGTCATCATGTTGTCCCTAAAGACTTGATGAAGGGTGATCACCATCTCAAACTTGTCCTTACTTCAAAAACAATAGAATATCATCATGTTTTAGTCTTTATGCTAGAGCCAACAATGAGCTAAAGGAATTTAATTTAAACATTTCCATCATGTCAGGCTGTCATTTCATGTGCTTATGGCCATATAAGTTTCATCATTGCACCATAAAGCTTGAACTTTGTCCAAGTAGACCAAGTCTACTTTACAAGAGGTTAATAGTTCATTGATAGCAAAGTGAGGCACTAGTATGGATTGTTTATTGCCAACACATGAGAGGAGTCTTTCTAAGCAATGTTGGAAGTTCCAAAAAGGTGAGAAGTTGGTAGTCTGAGGGGTTGTTGAAATAGATGAAGATTAGTAATGTTTATCGAAGGGGAGAATAATAAAATTTTAATCTAAGTAATACTTCTTCAGGGGGAGGGGAAGCACACAGTACAAATCAAGGCCCTCTTCTGTGAAGACAATATTAAAGATCTAGTATTTTTTTCAGAAGAAATCTTTCCTTAGTCTCATGATTTGATAGCCACTGATGTCTCAAAAGCTGGGTAATCTTGAGAAGCTGCTTGTAACTGAGTTAAGGAGAGGCAGATGTAAGCAGTTTTCTGTTTTCTCCTATCAGTCTTTGTAACCTCTGTAACTGAAATTCTGTATTTGAACCTGTTGTAAATAAATTATTTTCTTTTACCTTTACTAGGTTTTTCTCAAGCGTGTGTTTAGAATAAGTGTCACACAGGACATCCTATCCCTTTGTGTCAAGCTTCTATACTTCTTCAGTGTATAGAATCTCTTTGAAATTTCCAGGGCATTCAAAATATAATAAAATGTGTCTCTGCTAAACAGCATGGATTATTTTGGAATTTTTAATTTTTTCTGTGTAGAAGTTGTATCCCATTTTGCATGCTGCAAGTTGGCAAGCATGCTACCATTGAATACTAATGGTGATAGCAAAGTTTGCAGCACTATAATTACTGCAATCTTTTTGTCATCTGTAATTATTGTCAATAATAATAATAATCAATTTTATTCCAGATTATGAATAAAAATATGGCCTGGACATTGGTATAAACCAATCAAGTATTTTTGTAGATGATGGATGAATGTTGAGATCAAACAATTAATCAGTTTTTTAATTATTTAACTTTTGTATAACTGTATTTCTAGTAAGAAAGCTATGGAGAAGTAAGACAAATACTTTACAGAATATGATTAATACCATTTTTTCAGCCTAATTTATCACTGCATCAAATAATTTTGCAAAGCGTATGTGATAAAACTTAGCCCCATGTGTTAATGGCATTAATTGAATTGCTGTCTTCTATCAGCTTCTGTCTCAGAAATATATATTAATAGCTTTTACTCTTCAGAGACCTTTTTTGACTATTGGAATACTCACTTTAGCATATAATAACATAAATATTACCTTATTTTTCTTACAGTCACAAGGAACGGGTCTTCTGTTAACATAATCTTTGTTTCAACATAAGCCACCTGCAACACGTGAAGTGTCATGGGGCGATTTGGTAAGTTTTAAATGTAAGCTTGCCCTATCTTAAGACCTAGAGGTCTTGGGTTGCATAATGTATTATGAAACTTTGAGGATCTCTGCTACAGGTGATTGGAGTTGGGGAATTAGACATGAGGTGTGAGAACTAAATTAGTGCTAGAAGTGCCAAATTTGCACAGATCATATTGTAATTAATATTTACCTCCTGTTGAATATACATAATGATACTTGCTCTTTTTAGAAAGCTGAGCTTCTCATATAGATATACTACACAAAAAAACACTTTTTTAATTTGTTAATTCTTTGTACAGAATTCAAGTGGAAGGACTCAGCTCTTCAAAAAAAATGTGGGTGTTGGATATCTACAGCTAAGTATAATGTCTGTTTTACATAGTCTTTGGGGTTTTAAATACGAAATCTCTTCTCTTACAAAGCAGTCGAACAGGATTCTGATGACTGCATCAGCTTCAAAGAGTTTGAATCTGCAATGAAGTATGGACAAGATGAAGTATCACCAGTGTACTTTGCCTAAGGAATATTCTCTGGTAAAAAGACAAAGTGAAAACTTCAGATCTCAAGATATTTAAAAATCAATGGAACTTCATTTGTTTCAGCCAGCATTTTAAGAACTTTGACTGTAAGTGTAGCTCTGAAGAACGGCCTTTGAAGATTTACTGTTGACAAGTTGGGTGTATTAATTTACATGTGTATGTGTGTGTAGAATGCTTAAAATATTTGAAATCTCAATTGATTCCCAGTCACCCTATTTAGGAACTGCGACTCTGTAATTTTTCTTTTTGACTTAACAGATGAAAAAGGAGCAATTCTGATTTCCAGTTACTGTGAAACTTATTTGTTCACTTTTTCAAGAGCCCTTTGTTGATAGACCAAAATATCTCACATGTATAGAAACACAGATTAAATTTATGGCAGATAATAACAGGGTTTTTTTTTAATCAGTAGTATATTTGTCTTTCCTTCACTGTTTCACTTTCATATATGGTTTCTTTTTATATATTACTCATTGCTCTTAATTTATCATCATTGGTGAATTAGCTACATGATTTAGTTATGAACAGTTATCCAGAACTGTGTATGTAAGGAAGCAAGAATAAATATTTAGCTTTTTTTAACAGTTTTTTTAATGGAGATAAGAATAAATCGTTAAAATATGCGTCATGGATCTGAGTCTTGCAGGCAGAAAACTCTGTGTATTCAAACCTTCAGCTGACTTTTAGGGAAGAATTTGGAGATACATACAATATAGATATAGATGTAGATATGCGTATACATATTAGCAAGATCAGAGAATTTCCCAAGAGTTGAGGGAAGGTATGAGATAGAATCTGTCATTGTCCACAAAGCTGTCTTCCTCCCTCCCTCTTTTACTCTCTCTTATCCAGCAACTGGCAGATCTTCTTACCTGCTGTAATTTTGTATACAACCATCCAAGCTGTGCTGTAGCGAGATAAATCTGACTTTTTCATTTTTTTTTATCTGCGATCGCTTACTTCCTACTGTCTTCGTGTGTTCATATGAATAGTAACGGAAAATAGGGATTTCATTATGGGCACTGCCTCTGATCATATGACCCATTCCACTGTTTCATTTCTGTTTGCCTGCCAGTTGTTAAGTTGCTTGGAGGAGAGATTTCTTTTGAAACTGTCCAAAAGCAATCACCTCCTCAAGAGAGCTTACAGACTGTAGCACATACTTAATACTGCTTTAAATGTATAACAAAATAACAAATAATAGTAACGATCAGTAAGAGGAAGAAAGTACCAATTTTACCCTTAAGTCAACAGAGTCTCCAATTTCTTTGAAATTTTAGTGAGGTATTCCAGTGTACAATTTACAGGTGAAGTATTTATAAAATGGTCCCATATTTTCTGCTCCTTTTACATGTTTGTACCTCACTAGGTACTGGCAAAGTGAAATTTTTCACTTTTTTAATTCCGAAGTAGACAATATATAAATAATGTGAGGAAGTTATAGACACTGAGTATATCAGCAGATATACCTGATTCTGTATATAAGAACCAGTTATCTGTTAGATGAAATGAGCTGTAGCTCAAATAGCATGATCTATGTGCTAATCAGTGGGAGGAAACTGGTGTTGCCTTTGAAAGGTGATGGTAAGACAGGCTAATAGATTGGAGCTTTGCCTTAGAAATGCCATTTCCCAATAGATGAATGTTTTCATAAGAGAATCATCACCATGGATGTTAATTAGCAATATCATCACATGCTCTTCTGAGATATAGGAGATTAAATTATTATCCCACAGTGATAGTTGCTACAGGTCTCGACACAGTCATGAAGAAATGTATGATGGTTTTCTGTGTTATTACTTAAACTGTATTTTTTTGATCATCAGACCTCAGTTTTTATGGTGCCCAGATTCTGCACCCTTTCTAAACACTGAATCCATGCAGTGTAATTTTATTATGATAGATTATTTTATCATTATTTATAATTTTACTTATTTTTTAAAAAAATTATTTCATTCATAAGGAACAGTTAAAATGTCTTAGGCCTCTTGTTTATATTTCTAGTCTAGCTGTGATTTGTCATCTAAATAGCTGACAATATACATGCTATATTGTACAAGTATAGTTTTGTGTTAAATATTATAACAGACAGGAAGGTCATTGGATGTTTTTAATAGTAAGAAATCTACATTTCTTGTATATATGTCAAGGAATTCTTGAGAGGAAAGTGCTCTTATCTCCTTTATTTCCATATGTTCTCAATCCTCATTTTCTCAAGGACTTGAAAAATTGCTATAAACTTGAATTACTGAGTCAACACAAATTCCAGGTGAGACCAATGAAATTTTTTTACCATGTTGGAAAATTTTTGGGAAAAAAACAGATCTGTATTAAAGGATGATAGGTATTCTCATTTCTCCTCCCATGGGGACAGATAGAAAGAAACTGTAGATGACCGCAGTGGAGTGGAACTGAATAGACCATGGTGACACTCTTCCTACTGAATACTTGAATTGAAATTAATTACTAGCTAGTGCTTATCTAGGTTCTGGCTAGTTATCTGCAGAAACACTTCAGCCATGGCTAAAAACTGGTAAAATTAGGAATGACATTTATTCAGTGAGTTAGGTGGTGACCTATTCTCAGTAATGGTTTGGGAAACAACAAAAGCAATAGCTACCCAGCTGTTGGGGGAAAGAGGCTACGTGCTCCTCATTTTTTATGTTTTCTACTGCTAGTGTAAGAGCTCAGGATCAAAAGTCAACATAGAAGCATCAGCAGAGCTAAGAGCTATGATCAGCCTTGGCTTACAAGTTGTAACTCTGACAACTGACCTTAACTCGAGAGTGACATGAAATGGACTATACGTGCATTAGCAGGTTACGTTCTTAGCTGCAACATTTCCAAGCATGTAAGGACATCAATGATATGAATGATATGAGTTCAGATGAGATGTTTGCTTTTGTTTGATGACTACCATCTTTGGCCCAACCACTGGAGCTGACTTATGGCTGAACCTTCAGAACTGAAAAAGAGTTTCAGTAGCTAAAGAGCCATAGCCCTCTAACAAATGATTTCTCATGTATCCTATGGAACAGGATAGAGGGAGATCTTCAGGATCTACTTACCAGAATGTTATGCTATCTTTTCCAAGTTAATGAGCACATTTGCTTTCTTATTGTGTAGACTTTTTCTTTTTTTTTGACACCTCAGTTACTTAATAAACAGGATTTCCTTGTTAAAAATATCAGTTAAAATAATATCTACTTTTCAAGTGGGTGATCATCTGTTTGAATTATTTGAAAATAGATTCTTTGTATGTTTAGCCAATTGCCACCATTTTATAGCAAATGGGTAGATTATATAACCATAAGTGCTATCAAAATATATTTGTTGTGTTCCCCTGGGGCTTCTGTAATTCACTATAACTGTTGAAATCTAGTAATCTGTAATTTTCTTTTAAAGGATTTGGATGGTGTAATGGTTTTGAATCTAGGCCTTCCTTCCTGGCAACCAGGAAGGAAGGAAGGAAGGAAGGAAGTATTCCATCCTATTCCTTTACTTAATCAAACATATAAATAAGACGGAGAGAGAGGCCTTTACCTCTCTTCTCTTCCAGCAAGGTTTGGAGACAGCAGACTCCCACAGCTGATCTCTCTTGTGTGGGGGATCTGAGGCCTGGCCGGACCTGCGGGGCCGATTGTTTCTGCCAATCCGGGGTCCGGCAGCGTGGCGGTGGCGTTGGGCATGATTGTGCTATCTCAAGGAAAATATTAAGATTTTCTTTGGCTAGTTCTTTACTGAGTGTGTATACCTTTTGTTTGTTTGTTTGTTTTGTCCCTTTTCCTTTGGGGGGAGTTTCTTTCTTATGTGTACATAGTCTTTGTAATTGTATATACATCTAATATAAGTGTAAATATATTTATATATTGCTTTAGCTCTCTTATTTCGGTTCTCTTGTGGGTTTTTTTCCCTCTTTTCTCTTGGTTTTGGGGGGGGGAAGCTTTTGCGGTGGGGTTTGGAGACTTGGCAGGGAACCAGCTCCAAACCACCGCAGATGGTTTAGACATTTTACCAAGTTCTGTACTGACAACAAAATGGGCAACATTCTATGATTCTATCATTTTATTGATTGAATGAGAAGTTGTGAAACTATGGTCTTTGGGTAATGTGACATTCCTGATGGCCTGCACAGTGTAGTATACTGAAATCTGGAAGAATTTTGACTGAAAAAGAATTCAGACAATTAAGCCCAATATTAAGATTGTCCTCACTTAGATTTCTTTTTTTACTTTTTTTTCCCCAGAAGAATAAAAATGAATAAATATGTGCAGTACATGATAGAATATGCAATATGTCCCTATAAGTTTCCCAAAATAAAACTTAGTGTAAAGATAGTACATTAAGTTTGTGGCAGTGTTACTGTGTCTTCTATCTTTATTCAACTGTGTGGGTGGTGGCTGACTAGTCAGAGTAACTAGCTGACACACAAAATGTCACAGTTCAAAGAAAAGCTTTGGCATGACTCTCATTTACTATAATATATCAACTTTACACTTCTCTGGCAATGAAATGCAGTCTTAAAATCAGGATGAATTACAGCTGCATTCCTGCTTTGATTTCTTAACACTGTTCTTTGGGAAGGCTGCCCAAATGTAAAAAAGAGTCAGACCTATTTGTATAATTTTTTGTGTAGAGATTGCCGGTAACAATTTGAAAAAATATATTGCATAGTTGCCTATAAGAAATACTAATAACAAGTGGGTATTTATATCATAGTTATTTAAGGATCCATATCTGGGCCTCTTATTTGCAAGAAATAAAAAAATAGTGATGAATTTTAGAAGAGCCCAGAGGTTGGACATGCAGTAGCATCTTGGCTCAAATCTATGTTGTTCTGAAGTGAATCTCCCAATCTTTCCCACTTGCTGTGTAGTGGTTCAGTTTGCAGTCGTTACGGTGCATGCAAATCAAGATTTATTTTGGAGGACGATAAACTAGAAGACTGTTCTGGGATCACATGAAACACACTTCAATACCT